CGAATCTGTTTGTTTTGCTAGAGAATACATTTGAAGGATATTTGATTGTTTCATTTGTAATTTTATTGTTCACTAGTTTTGGTTTTCCCTCACTTCTAACTGTCATTAGATTTGTTAGATATGATTTGAGTCCCTCTTCTCGTTGACCTACACTATAACCATGATATACATGTATTTTTGTTGCATTTATACTTAGATAATTGCTTTCATAATCGTGTGTTTGCCAAGATTTTAAGTGGCGTGAGACGTGGTGTGGCGGAGAGGTCAAGCCTTCGGAGCCACGATGATGTCATGGCATTTTTCTAGGCATGACTTATAGTGGCAAACCTTTATATCATATACATAATTATACATATAAACATATATTTTCTACTATTATGGTGATATTAAATAATTCAAATTAAGTTATACATTAGAAACTAATAAATAAGACGATAAAAAAGTAATAAAAATCAAATATTGCTTTACAAAACCGTGCATTAGGTCATGGCGTGCCATAGACTTAACATGTCGTGAGACGCAAGCCTTAAAACACAGCGGCTGTTGCTGATAGCTTTTTTGAACACTAATGTTTGCATTGTATTCAGTGTTCTAAAAAGTTCACCGCAACCGCCATGGCTTAAGACTTGTGTCTCACGCCACATTATGTTTGTGGCACGCCATGAGATAATGTGTTGTTTTTGTAACATAATATTTGATTTTTCTTACTTTTTTAGTTTATAATGCATAACCAAATTTAAATTATTCAATATCATTGGCTAATTGAGTTATAATAATAATAATATATATATATATATATATGTTTATATGTATAATAATTTATATGATATAAAGATATGCTACCATAAGTCACACCTTGAAAAACGTCACGACCTCGTCGTGGCTTCTAACGCTTGAGGCATGACTGCATCACCACACGCGCCGTTGTTGGGTATCATCATCTTGGAGATGATATATGCTAGGTTGCCCCACAAAGGTGTTACTTGAGGTAGTTGGGGAATCATTATGAGCTAATGCAACCTAATCGTCTCGCTGCAAAAATGAGCACATTACCAAACAGGGTCGGCCCTGGACATGGGCCTTTGCCCATGGCATCCACAGCCCAAGGGGCATCATAGCCTAAGCCAAGCCCGTCTATGTTATCAGAGTCTAGACTCCAGAGATCCGTCTTCGATCGACTAATCGACACCTACGACTACAACGTCGGACGCTCCAGTCTCCACCTCATCTTTCCTAGTTCCCTTCAAGGCTTCGACCTTCCCTCCCGGCTCTCGCTCCCGTCGGCCATTGGCCGCCATCGCCGACTGCCGAGGGCCCTAGACTGTGGTGTCTGGTCGGTTATATCGCACACCGTTAGACAAAGAAATTGGGCCACAAAGCAAGTATACAATACGGCCTAATGTCGTCTTTTCAAGTAATAAAGTGGTACAAGTACCGGAATATCATCCACGGAGATTGTAGCCAAAGTAAAATAAGAGTCCAATGAAAGAGATGATTTCAGGTGACGATTTTGAAGACTTTTGTTTGATTGTAAGGTGAATTAAAACAAAATACAAAATATATAAAAGTAGCAAGGGTGTAAGACTTAAGGTGAGACCCAAACACAAATTCCAGTAGTCAATGTTGTAGGAATGCTACAGCAAGCATTGTTTCGAAACTAAGTTCCACCATCTATTTTGAAGGCATTTCTCTCGGACTTCACCATTGCACTATATTATAGTTTTTCACCCATATCTCTATGTGGTGTCCGGACCAGGGATAGCGACACGATGGTGTTTTCAAAATATATGGATAAACAAATCTCTTTCTTAAAAATCACTCTCTGAATCTATCGCACTTTGACACTTTCGAAGAGTGACCAACCCGTCGGGAGTTAAGTTTGAAAAACATAAATGACAAGTCTCCTTGTCGGCAACTTTCTCAAGTCTACCTCTTATGTCATCCAAGTTGACGTGCATTCAATGGCTTATCTATAAGTCCATGGCACTTTAACACTTTCAAAGTGATCAACCCGTCAAGAAGTGTGCTTGGTTTTATAAAAACTCGAATGAAATAATGGAACGTCGTTTACGAAAACACTTAGCTACTTTCTTTTGGTTTGAAAATCTCACATTTTCGTCTCACACCCAAGCTATAAAAACTTAGCTACTCATAACGGAAAGTAAATTACAAGAAAAATAAATGACGGAAAGTAAAGACATAAATATAAATTGCGTAAAGTAAATTACGAGAAAATAAATTACGAGAAAATAAATGACGATAAAGTAAATGACGAGAATGTAAATGACGAGAATGTAAATTACGGAAATTAAATAACGGAATGTAAATGACAATAAACGTAAAGGAACGTAAAATAAAGAGCAGAAATTAAAAGACGATAAATTAAAGAAGAAAAAAGACGAAGAACTTGTATTGCCCAAAAGTTCACTACAAATCACCCTTGGAGATGGTTGATTTTAAAGCTAGATGGTGTTTAGGATGGATCATCAAAATGGAACCACAAGCCCTTCTTTTATACCCAAATGAGTCACTAAAAGACAAAAAGACAAATCTTGGAGGCTAAGCTTCCTAAAACTAGTTACAAGGTACAATTAGAGGAACTAGAAAGTACATATTCCTAACAAGAGTTTTAATCACAGATTCCAGCAATCTCCAACTGTATTCCACAAAGCTCAAAAAGGAAGCAGCTTAATCAATAAGTTCTCCAAAAAGTTGCGCATCTATCAGATCGTTGCTGCTCCAATGCTGTAGCATCCTGCTGTTTAATAAAAACTCTCCATTAGCTTCTTCCTTGAGTACCAACAAGTCAACCACAATATTTAGCTCCATAATAACAAATGTATAAAGAAATTAATAAAAATGACTCAAAATGGGAATGAAAGAAAACTAATTTAACTAATAAAACGTAAAATGGGTGCTTTATATATTGAATTTTCAACATATATCAGTGTCATATTGCAGTCCGTGGTGGTAATGTGGTATAAGGTATTTACTAATTCCTATTTAGCACACAACTTTCTTCACTCCCTTATATATGAGTATATGGATTCTTCTTGAAATTTCTAAAAAGGTGTTTATGTAAAGATTGAGTACAGTGATGAGTGATCAAACTTCATTGATGTTCATGCCCAATAATCCTTCTCTTGGTCTCCATTGCGTGCTTATGGGTTTCCCCCCTTTTTGGATTTGGGATGTGATTTACTGATTTGTCAATGATAAAGTTTTTGGGATGTGATTACAGATTACTGATTTGTCATTTGTCAACGATCCACTTCAATCCAAAGGACTCAGCCACTCAGGTGTTTTCCTTCTAGTTCTCCTCTTGGTGATTTATAATTTTGCATATTTGGTGAATCTATTCTTGAATCTGATTTGGTTTAACCTTTAGGTAATCCGTAATTTCAATATTGCATATTTAGTGATCGCTTGCTTGTTTGAAGTTTAAACAATTTGGTTTGATTAAATATGTTTCATAGATCACAACTTTCCGATGCTCAAAATAGAAAAAGAAAAAAAAAATAACAAGACATGGCTCAATCTTTACATGGATCGCTAAATAAATTTGTTGCGAGGCAAGAAAAACCTATTGAAAATGCTAGTTCTCAGGATAATGTTATGGAATTTGTGTAGAAGGTGGATATATTCCCACACATGTTGCTTGCCTACAAGATTTTGTTAACTATATCGGTCACGGTAACATCCGCCGAAAGAAGTTTTTCAAAATTAAAGTTATTGAAATCATATTTGGGCTACCATGAGCCAAGAGAGGCTTAACGCGTTAGCAATTTTAAACATCGAAAGTAAGTTTTTAGCATAGATTGAATATGATAGATTAATTGAAGATTTTGTTTCACGAAATGCACGAAGACACCATTTTAGATGAATAAGTAACCTTATATTTGTTTTGTTGTTCAGGGTTTTTGTTTATGTCCCCCATTATAATTTTTTTTCAATAATAACTAGCGTAGGGATGAGCCGCGTAGTTTGACTAGGTTCCAAACCCCTTAAAATTTGTCTTCTTGGATTCTTGGTTCATTGGAGTAGGGGCATGTTTTTGGCTCTCTGTCCAGGACATCCAAAACCATTGGACCGACCCTATTATCAAACATCGCAAGGTTTTCGAGAATGCCTTTGTGTAACACAAATACGTTCTATCCAAATACTCCAACATATCGGTTGGAAACAATTTGTAAAAGGAAATTAAAACATGACAACAATTTAAATACATATACATTAAACAAAGATTATTGATATCACTTTTTAAGGAGAATTTTGGTACTCTGTTGATTATGATGCAGTTGATTACAACGTTTCCTCATGATCCAAACAACTGTTTCATTAGATTGTATAGTCTAATCGATATTTATACATAACACATTCAAATCACTTTGCTGAAAAACTCACTGATTAAATAATAATAAAAGTGTTTTAGTTTTCGTATCTATAACCACTCTATTCATACTGAAAATATACGGCAACCTCCCTCAAGATGAGCCCATGATCTTTAGAATATCAGCCATAACGACTATTTATTTTTACCAAGTCGAGTTTTTGTTTATGTATTAAAAATAAGAAGATTATTTAATTAAAAAATAAAAATTGTAACCAACTCTTCGATAACATTATTTTTTGCAAAAATAAGAAGATTATTTAATTAAAAATAAAAATTGTAACCAACTCTTCAACTACATTAGTTTTGTTAGAAAATCAAAATTAATTAAAAATATGAAAAAAGTTCATGATGTAACAAGTATTCTTTTTCATGATGAATATTCATTATGAATAATAAATTAATTATAAATATTTGATATGTTATTCATCATTAATCACAATTCATAATGAATATAAACACTTATTCATTATAACCACATATTATAATAAACATAGTATAAACAACACATTTATATTTTTATTATTAAAGAATTAAAAAGACATAATATAAGTTTTGTTGACTTCAGAATTTGAGGGTAATAAGTAATTGACGTTTTCTGCTTGATTTATGGATGAATTTGTGAATTTTATAATAATGAAATTTTGATTTACAGCTTTTGGATGTAATCCGTAAGTCGTCAGATGCTAAAACAAACAAAAAAGTGTATAGACCCAGTCCGAGTTGACCCAGTCAATACGGCGTGATGTGAGTTGTACGCGTTTCGTAGCTCGCCAAACAAGACTTTGAGTTAACTCGGAAAACCTTCACCAATTCCCGGCACATTTGCTTCACCGTGCCGGAGCAATTGCTCTGCATCACCAACAACACCTTCGTCAAACCGTTGTTCCTCATCGCCGCTTCCAGAGCACTACGATCTCTCCACATGTAACAAACGCTCCATATCATTACGATTCCGAGCTCCGTCGTCGCCGTTGAAACCTTTATCAGCCGCTGAACGACGGCCGTCACACATTTCTCGTCCTCTGATATCGCTGTCCGTCCCTCCCTGCACGTCGATACCATCTGCAGTACCTTCATAGCTTTTTCCATCATTCCAACAGGATTTTCAGAATCGGACAGGATCCTTGCTGCTGTCCTCACTATCCCCAGCCGGACCAGCTCCTTTTTTACCTGCCTGGAAGTGGAAATCGCGATAAGAGCTGCTAATCCGACGTCAATAGCCGTCCAATCGGTAAGGGTGTTCGTAAAATGATACAGCTCGTTCAATAAGCCTTTTTGGTCAGCGATTACTCGTCGAGATTCGTTATCGAACACGGCGAGTGATTCCAAAACCCTAGCGGCTCTAATTCTAGCATCTAAGCTGCCTTTTTGAAGAACAATATTGAACGGCGAAAAGAAAGCATCATCGAGATTAAATTTCTTTAATCGGTCTTTGACTCCTTTGATAGATAGAATCAGATCCAAAGCGGTAACCACTAATTCGACGACTTCAACTTCATCACTGTGTTTCAGAATCCTCACCATCATTGGAACGAATCCGTCCAAATTCGCCAAGGATTCTCTACCTTCCTCAGACAACTTCGCCAATTCAACAATCCTCAACAATGCACCTAAGGAAAGGTTTTCCGTTTCTCCGTTACTGATCAATTTTGTAATATAGTCAATGGCTATGGGATTGTTGAAGATGGCGTGTGATTCAGGACAGAGGAGAGAGGAATCAGACCAGACGCGAATGAGGCGGCGAAGGGTGAGGTTTGGGACGACGTCGGTGGAATGAAGGACTTGCATGGTTGCCGGACAGGTGTTGTGGCCGGAATCTAGCCAATTTTGGATGCTGGTGCGGTCGTAAGTGACGCCGGTGCAGAGGCTGACAGGAGATTTCATAACGTCCATGGATATTGGGCACTTGAAGAAGCTGGGGACACTCAGGTACAACTCGTTGCTCTTATCCCTCGCCATTTGTGTGTGTTTGTGTAAGAATCAATTGTGTATTAGAGAAAAAGAGAGACCAGTGGAGGAGAGAGAGAGAAAGGGGGTGGGGGGTTTTGAAGGGGGAGAGAGAGAAAGAGAGAGAGAGTCAAAGGGGTTGGAGGTGACGTCGTTTAGTCAATGATTCATTGTTCGGTGGGTACTTGTTTTTAATGTTTTATTTATTGAATTTTCTATTTTTAGGTTTGACTAATTGTAAGTCACCATTACATTAAAATAACGAAAAAGTCCAAAAAGATCTACTCTATTCTTATAATCGACCGATTCTATTTTTATGAATATTTTTTAATAAATAAATTTTTATGAATATTTTTTAATAAATAAATTTTTGAGTAAATTAGGGTTGTCACGCGCCGTTAGGTCTATAGAAATTAATTACATTTTTTTAGGGTGATTACCATTTTATTTTAATTTTGATCCGTGACAAGATCCGTTAACTTTAATACATTTTGCTTTTTTCTTCATTTATTTAAATTTATATTAGAAAATTAAACAAAAAATTATTATATTAAGTATACTCAGGGGTCATTTACTAAACGTTTACCCCGTAAGTATTTAATGGATAATTTTTCTCACCGGATGAACATGACAAGAGCCAAGAATCTTACCCGGTAAGAACGAGAATAATGATGGAGAGTCTTGCCCGGTAAGTGAGGGTGACGAATTTTACCCGGGTAAGCGCTTACCAGGAAAAGTGTTTCATGGAATACGTTTTGATGTACTACAACCTTACCCAATAAAATAAATTATAATGTTGACTCCTAACGTTAAGCACTTACCGGGTAAGCATTTAGGTAAACAGCCCCTCACCCACCCATTTTCTTTTCCAACCGTAGACCTCGTCGGCCACCATTAGTTTGTCGATTTCGTAACTTGCTCATTTCTTTCTCCAACCCTTCTACAACTCTGGCCTCCTTAATAGATCTAGGTTTTATAATAGTTAAACAACATTTTCAATGTCCCTTCTTCCTTGCATATATACCATTTTTGACACCCATTCCCCCTTCCCTTTTGCATGCATATGCACACCAGATCTACGTGTTTTTAAATTTGTTAATAATTAAAAAACTTAAGCGAATCAGTGACTTCCTTTCATGTTGCACAGACACAATAAAGGCAGATCTCAAAGAACTCTATAAATACAACAATCAAAGAGGAAAAAACTAACCCATGATCTTTGTGTGTTATATTATTGTCTTTGTATTTCACCTTGATATAAACAACAATAGATCTACGATGGTGGTTCTAGACACACCAGATCTTGTATACACACACAACCATGATATTTTGATACTCACATATAAGAGATCGAGATGATAAATAAGTGTATATGGGGAACATAAGGTGTTATAGGTGTTCACACACCCACATATACATAGAGGCAAAAGACAATGATCTCGCCGAAAGGGTAGCGGACGGAGTTATCTGAGAGTTGTGTCGATGAGGGTCACAATAGTTATGGTGTGCCGAAAAGGGTGTCTTGCCAGGGGAATGGGCACTATAAATGATATGTGTGCAAGAAGAAGAAAAGGGATGAGCAAGTGATGGAACCGATGAACTCAAGGTGGCCGACGAGGTTGATGATAGAGAAGAAAAGAGATGGGTAGGTATATGTGATATAATAATATTTTTGTTAAGTTTTAATACAAAATTAAATAAATGAGAAAAATAGCAAAATGCTCTAAAGTTAACGGACCTTGTTAACAACATTTGTCACATGGACAAAAGTGAAAAGAATGGCAACCATATTCATCAAAAGTTTAATAAGTTCAAAGTGATTGGACTTTATTAATTTTTCATGTTATTGGTTTATCGTATATTGTTACTGATCTATTGATATATCAATAAAGAAATAATATATTCCTTTCGTTTTACAAGTGTGCAGATTTATCCATTATCAAAAAATGTCCATGGAATTAATTATTTCAAATAGGAAGTGGTTGGGGACGAGGGTCACGACTCCCTCTCTCATGTATGTATACAAGGGTGTGTATAAGGGTTAATCATTTGAGAACTCTAAAAATTATGAGATTCGTGAAATCCATTAGAAATCACTTAATTCATGCAGTTTTTAGGTAATTCAAATTCTATACATCTCTCTCTTCCCCGTAAGAAAATGTTCACAATATGTTCACCTTGTGTGTGCATGTGTATGTTACAGAGGGGAGGAGATAAGAGAAGTGAACAGGAGAGAGAAGATAAGCTTTTCAAAATTATGTCAGATTTTATTTTATAACTAATTTTTGTGATGCAAATTAGATCTCACAAATTACATAGTTCTAAAGAGAAGGCACTTTTTATTTATTAACCTGGATATTCAACCCGTTATGCGAGCCGACTAATCCCAGGACGACTACCTGCTTTGCAGATTGCAGATAGCCTGGAGTCATCGCATTTACACCTCCGTGGCCACAAAGAGATTTTTATTCCTCCTTGGATTTGAACATGAGACCTCCTGGTACTTTTGACCTTTGGAGCCAAGCTCAAAGCAATCAGACACCACCCTTGTGGTTAAGAGAAGACACTTTTTAGATAATTGATAAGGGTTTAACCATTTAAGAACTTTACAATTTGTGAGATTCACAATATCCATCATAAACCAATAATTTAAGATAATTAATATACTAGTTTTGAAAATTTCAAATTCCATATATATATATATATATAGGAGGTCATTCTGGGAGATGTAATCTTAACCACAAATCAAAGTATAGATTAGAAAATTAATAATTTTGAGTAAAAATTTTAATTAAAAAATATTTTAGGTATTTTAGAAATCTTATCTCTCCTTGCCCCTCTCCCTGATGGCCTTATTCCAATGAACATCATGTGAACACAAGATACACAATGTGTTACTTAAAAATTATCGCCATTGTTAAAAAATGCATAGAAACGATTTCACTGTGATACCCATGATATATACAATATGTACACTATGATACTGATAGGCGGGTTTACACCCCCTAAATCTAACTGCAAATCTACAGTGTCGAATTAGGTAATAAGTATAATAAGTACGAGTATCGAACCCAGGGAACTAGGTACCAAGTAACACAATAACTATAACTACTATTAACTATACGATCTATATCAGTTGATTGATTGAATTACTTAAATAATTGCAAAAAAGAATTAAATAAATCAATTAGAAATCTTTTGGGAAAATCTGTAGAAGAAAACAGTTGGGAGTTAGAATCCTAATAGCTTTCACTCAAATCGTACGGTTAATCGGATTGATACTTTGATACATCAAAATATCCTCTTATGTTTGTTACCTTGAATATGTTGTTTCAAGAAGACAAAACTCACACCAAAGAAACCTTCAGCGATATCAAAAATATAGCTGAAGATAGAGACAAGCAGTTCATGATCTGAAGCGGTTTCAGTGATAAAAGCATGTCTATAATCGAGTATAAAGTCTATACAAAATTCAACGAACACTGAAGAAACTCTAGAGTTATGTCAGTGCCAGCAATCAAATGAATCTTTATCTACAAGATTAGTTTTTGTCTTATCCTTCTACACACAAAAGACAACCCTCTTAAAGTAAAGCACATGTACAAAGTCACTCTATTGCCTCCAAGCGTGCTTACCTACTTTGTGAAAGACAGCTATTCATATACGGCCAAAAGCCTGCATATTTGAAGACAAAGGACAAGCTGACGTCTAGAAGTTTTCCACGAGCTTTATACCATTTGACTTGCATTAAATACAATGGGTATAAATAGCTATGTAGACTCTCTTATCCAGACTGCGAAGCTAAGCTTACATACAACGGAGAATTGCACATACATGCAAAACTAAGCTTACTCTCAAGCAAATTTATAGCATCTTCTCAAGCAAGCATTTTCTCTCTTGCTTTTCTATGTCTTGTGTGCTTCTTAGGTTGTTTAGATAAGTTATGTATCTTATTTTCTTCACCAAAAAAATCTATAAATTATGTATTGATCTTCTCATATCAATAAAGAATTTAGAAAGTGAAAATTGTGTGTTTGAATTGATACCCTCTTCTACAAATTGTTACCTATAAACTCTTGTAGATCCATCTGAGACCAACAACTGTCCCTACTCCTTCTAGTGCTCCTGCAACCTATAGGAGGGGGTGCCTTCCCTATCTCTTTCTCTCATAATTGATGGTGCTCCCTAATGTATACCCCAAGTTTGTGGGCATTGGAGGTGGTAAAGTATGTTTATTGCCTCGACTATAATATGTACAGTCTTCCCCCTTATGACGACTGAGTTGAATTCACCGTAAACACCTTGGTGTAGGCACCTTGGTGTAGGCATGCATAAAATTCACGTACCAAGGCAATATCGTATGGTTCTCGGATTTTGACGTATTATTCCCACCCAAGTTGAGTTACTATACTTATAATGGTGGATTGGGGTGGAGTCTTGTAGTGTGATTCCCTATTCGGGTTAAACTTCCCACTTGGCCATGATTTTATGCCGATTAATGAGATTGGATGTTGAGATTGTCAGAGTTGTTCTTTTTGTGCCGCATTTAATATGTTATAATCTGGCCAACGAGGTGTAGTAGTAATGGGTTTTACTCCTCCCATGTTCCTTCCAAAGATATGAGGTATGGTGAGTGAAGATATAATTTCCCCTAATATTGCACCCCAAACTTTGGTCATGGCCTAGGTTGGACTTAAGAACACAACAACACCAAACCTAGGTGAAATCTACGTGTGGACTATCTCTAAACCACACGGGGACAGAATAGACATGAGTACGTATGCAGAGTGGAGTTGTGTAGTGTGCATTTAAAATTGGGGACCCCAAACCAAGGTGGAATCTTGGGTTTTGAAATTGTCCTATGACATGTATCACATAAAAAAAAGTTCAACAGATGCATATAATGATTCTAAAGTCATAAAAGTCCATTCTCAGAGATAGCTGAAGAGTCCTCACCGATTTCTTACTATCTCTGACCAAAAAATCTTGTTCAACAAAATTAGTTTTTGTCTTATTCTATACGCACAAAAGAACAATCCTCA